ATTATCGCTATAGGGAAAAAGTTTGTAATGGAATCGAAATTTAGAATGAATAAGCTCCTTTTCCTCCAAATCCTCCAGAGTACCCTCTAGGTATTTAAGCCTCTCCAAGTTTTGTTCGAAAAACATGTCTTCAAATTGCATCAGGAAGACTTCAGTTTGTTGAGCGTACATTTTAAAGGAGAATTGTTCATTTTTTTACGATTGCTTTGAGACTGAAGTTGGATTTAGAATCTCAGGCCTTTACATTGAAAAAATTCATTTATTTCTCTTTCTTATTTACTAATAAAAGTACTATTTGCGCACAACTATCTATCTTTTCCTTTATGTATCATATGAGTAATTCCGTTCTCATTTGACATTCTCAACAATTTACAAAATTTGTTTACATAACTTTTAGGTAAAAATATCCGAACATCTTTGTTGTTCTTGTCTGTTAAATAAAGAGCTACTTTGGTTCCCATAAGGTGTCTTTTTTAACTTGCATCCAGTGATCTTATACTCGAATCCAATACATAGATTTTAAATTTTTGTATAACCATTCACAGGCTTCAATTCGTTCAGAGTCTAGGATTTGATTCGATGTGCTTTAGTACCTAACAGTTGTGTAGTAATTAATTTACCTAAGATTTCGTGGTCTTTTATACTATCCAGAACACGAAAAATATAACGATAACTTGTTTCTATATATATATATATATATATACACTTTATATACATACTTTAATATACCTACGTCTCTTTGTAAGAAAACATATACGAAACCTAACTCAAACTATGTAACGCTTTCATATTTACATTATTATATCTCTTTTTATAAATAAGTAAATAGTTACAAAAAATTTACCAATGTCATATCATATTATTGCTGTTATTTCTGTCCAAAAGTACAAACATTCGGGTTGCGATATGGTTATAACGCTCATCTCTGTAGCACGTGGTGCAGCTGCAGATGGTCCAACGCCATCTATATACAACTTAGGAATTGGTGGCGCTATCTAGATCTCGGGGGAGAGAATCGGTGGCCTGGCAGGGTTAGATCAATCGGGGTAACAGGGCGAATTGTCAGACTTTCCCTGAGTGAGAGAATTTCTCGTCACTAGCCGCCATTCCTAGTTTGGCATCCAAATTGATTGGTTGAGTCATGAAGAGGTGTTTAAGATAAAATCAAAAGTAAAAGTGTTCAATCAGCAGAGGCAACCACCAATAGCATCAACAGGTATCACGGCAAAGGAGCCCAAAAGGAAGATCCCAGTGGGATTTCGGCCAAGTCCAGGGGCGAGTGAGAAGCTAATGAGGTCTTTTAGATTTTCTAAGGGGGCTCATTTTATAGCATAGGTGTTGGCCAAAAGGTGTCGTTTCGCAAAAGTCGACGGTGGCGTTGAAACTAAGGAACGGACCGTAATATTGCCCATAGTTTTATCTTCAGCCCCGACTAAAAAAATTAAGCAGCAAAAAGCTGCAGCGATGTGGAGAAATTAGTGAAATTAAATTAGTCAAAGTTTTTTTTTATTCTAAAAATTTTGGGTATACAAATGGAGTGAGTTATCTAGTGAGTGAGTGAAAACAAGGAATGTGTTGCAATTTTAAACCTTCACTTATATATATTCTTGATCAGCATCACTAGTAGAGTCGATTTAGCCATGCCCGTCTGTCCGTCCGTTTATATGCAAATTATTCTCTCAGTTTTAAAGCTGTCTGCATGAAACTTTCCCAAAAGTTGTATTTCTATTGCAGGTAGTATATAAGTCGGAACGAGCCGGACCGGACGACTATAGCATATAGCTCCTATAGGAACAATCGGAAAAATAAATGAAAAAAAAAATTATAACTTAGCTGTTTTTTAATTTTTTGTTTAGTTCTTCGACATATAGCAATGGTTAAATATTTCAGGTTTATGGTTTAAATTTTATCAAAATCGGACGACTATATCATAAGCTCCCATAGAAATAATAAAAATATATAAAATAACTATCAAATAATTAAGCTACAAATCATCATAGCTTCAATGTTTTTAAACATATGTATACGCAAGTAAATCATAATTTTTAATGTTTTTAAAAATGTTTAATTCTTGCAATAGCTGCAAGGGTATATGAACTTCGGCTTGCCGAAGTTTGCTTTCTTTCTTGTTTTATGCTTACCTTTATTAGGATAAAAAAACGGGTGCCGATCTGTCGTCTATATTCTTTAGCTCCCATTGGAACAATTGTGAAAAGCTGTGAAAATATCCATTTTTTCTATTTTTACATGACATTTTTGCAGTATAAAAGCTATTCACAAAAGCTATTCAAAATTATGCAAATCTATTTTATTTATGTATACCTTCCTCAAAGTAAAAGTTCTTGCCAATCAGACAACTATATACTACAGGTGCCATTTGAAAATTACATGGGTAATCTTTTTTATACCCATGCAGAGGGTATTATAATTTCAGTCAGAAGCTTGCAACGCAGTGAAGGAGACATCTCCGACCCTATAAAGTATATATATTCTTGATCAGCATCACTAGGCGAGTCGATGTAGCCATGTCCGTCTGTCCGTCTCTTTCTACGCAAACTAGTCTCTCAGTTTTATAGCTATGTGCATGAAACTTTCCCAAAAGTTGTCTTTCTATTGCAGGTAGTATATAAGTCAGAACGAGCCGGATCGGACGACTATAGCATATAGCTCCCATAGGAACAGTCGAAAAAAAAAATAAAAAAAATATAACTTTACTGTTTTTTAATTTTTTTTTAGTTCTTCGACATATGGTAATGGTTAAATATTTCAGAATTACGGTTTTAATTTCATCAAAATTGGATGAATATATCATATAGCTCCCATAGGAACGATCGGAAAAAAATACAACAAAAATTATAACTTTGCTGTTTGTAGATATATTTCAGAATTACGGTTTAAATTTCATAAAAAGCGGACGACTATATCATATAGGTCCCATAGAAATAATAAAAATATATAAAATAACTATATAATAATTGAGCTGCAAATCATCATTGCTTCAATGTTTTTAGACATATACGGAAGTAGATCATAATTTTAATGTCTTCAAAAATATTTAATTCTTGCAATAGCTGCAAGGGTATATAAACTTCGGCTTGCCGAAGTTTGCTCCTTTCTTGTTTTCATATAATTACACAAAATGTTATTTATATTTCGCGCAGTAGCTTATAAAATTCACATACATTTTTGCAAGTCTTATTTATTTACGCATACCTTGATCAGGGTAAAAGTTCTTGCCAATCAGACGTCTATATCTTACAGCTCGTTAAAAGCTGAGAAAATATCCCCATTTCTCTATTATACCCTTGCAGAAGGTATTCTAATTTTGGTCAGAAGTTTGTAACGCAGGAAAGGAGACGTTTCCGACCCCATAAAGTATATATATTCCTGATCAGGATCAATAGGGGAGTCGATATAACCATGTCTGTCTGGCCGGCTGTCCGTCTGTCCGTCTACCTGTCTGCTAGCGATCTGAAACTTTAACAGTCGTCTTAAAATATGTGTACGCAGATGAAGTTTGAAGAGTGTCTATATCCTATAGCTTCCATAGGAACTATCGGATATAACTTGCTAGAATTGAAGATATTTTGCGCAGTGTAAAAGCTATTAAAATCCATCTTTCCAAATCGTATTTTTTTATGCATACCTTGCTTTATACGAACAAAAAATTTGTTTCTATTATTTTGTTATTTATTTTGTGAGTATAAAAACAATATTACTTTCGTTGTGAGTGTAAATAAAAGAGTAACCAAAGTATCGCCATAAGAGCGTGGAAGTGATTAAGTGATATATTCTACAATTGGTTTGGTAAGTCTGCATTAAGTACAAATTTTCTGACAAAATAAATTTAGTATATAATTGTTATAACTGCAAGGGTATATAAACTTCGGCTTGCGAAAATTTAATTTTTTTTTCTTGTTTTGTTTTGTTTTTTTGATTGTTCCTATGCGAGCTATATAATATAGTCGTCCGATCCGTCTCGTTCCGAATTATGTACAACCTGCAACTGGAAGACAACTTTTGGGAAGGTTTTATGCAGGTAGCTTTCAAGCTGAGAAATTAATTTACGTAGAAACGTAGGGACGGACAGACGGACGGACATACGGAAAAACATTCGGAAGGACAGACAGACGGAAATGGCTAGATCGTCTCTCCTAGTGATTCTGATCAAGAACATATAACTTTTTTATGGTCGGAAATGTCTCCTTCACTGCGTTAAAAACTTCTGACTGATATTATTATTAAAATAATATTTTCATGATCTGGGGTCAGGTATTTATGTACTTTAAAATAAATTTGATTTCAGGTCTCGTGTACAAATCAATAAAAACACTTAACAAACAAATTAATTAATGTTTAGCTGTTTTAAGTTAACTTAAAGTCTTATCTATATATTAATTAAAAGAGAGTTAATTTGTTTTGAAAAATTATTAAAGCAGTCAAAAAATTTAATGTGTAAAAAATTTACTGTTTTAAAATGTAATATATATATATATATATATATATATATAAAATATAAATAATATACAAAAAACATTTTTTAATTAAACTTACATCGTTTGAGCTATTAGAACTTTTTAAGTGTTTCTCCTTACCTAGAAATGAGAAATATCTAACTATTGTCAACAGTGACTGCTTCGTAAATTAATAAGCCGCTTCAAAGATCAACCTTTGTCAGCTTCAAAGTCAGCTTGCTGACTGGAGACCAACAATTTTCGGCTTAAATTTAAACAATAAAGTCAGGCTTCTTACTTAACAATTTCAAAGCAGCGTGCCGACTCAAAAACTAATTGAAACCAATTTTTTTTTTTTGTTAAAAAAAAGAATTATTGTTACAATATCTGTTATTAGAAATTTTGGAGATGTAGGTGAGATCGTCACGTTAATTTTACCTCGTCAAGAGATATTTTTGTTTGATAAGTTCATAACCACAATTTGGTGCTTTTCTTTCCAATTGAAAAACTTTGTTTTAATACAAAGGTTGGCAGTGCAAAGTCAAAATGCTCGTCGACCAGAGTTGGTCACTTGTCTTAAATGCTATTAGTAAATATGCAAAAAGGAGTAAGAATGTATCAACCGCTTAAAATGTTAAATTCTTGAATAGTTGAAAGTTATTTGAACGAAAGCCCCATCTGTATATTTTGGAATAATATGTTTGAGTTTAAACTGTTACAAGGCGCGGATTATAACAGTTCTGAGGGAATAAATATTCAAATATAGAATGCCGAGATGTGGTCGACATAGGATTAAGGAAAAAAGCGCTTCAAGAGAAAGATTTGCCGTTTGAAGACCTTCTGTTCAAGATTACTATATCTATTGAGTTGACGCACTGTGAGGTAAATTAAAATTAAATATATTTTCCTTTCATAATAAACTCTTATTTTACTATCAGACGTTTGTTGTTTTCGACGAAGACAATGGCCAGTTTGTAGATGCCTTTACTAAGGCTTCTGTATACTCAATATGGCGGTCTTTACACAATAAATTCGATTCTGCGCATGTTGCACACGAATTAAAAGAATGCTGTGAAAATAGATTCTTCGAAGCTAAAATAAACATCTTTTAGCAATAAAACACAAAAATCATGAACAAATAAAATAAACAAAATTTGAGTTCCTCAATTGAGTTGAAATTGAGTTCCTCAATTTTTGTTGCCTTTCTTTGCTTTTAACTTTATTGATTCATATAAAAAAGGTTCAAGTTTCAATCAGAGAATTCGTCAAGAGCCTAAACTCTAAAAACTAGAGCATCCAAATTGTACTTGGCATTAGATGGGGGCCTAAATGCGCACATATATCATATTTTTATGCATACCTTAATCAGGGTAAAAGCTCCCTATAGCTGCAATAGGAATAATAGGATGAAATCGGTAAAAATTTGTTTTTTTTCAGCATATATCGCGTAGTATTGACATGACATAAACTGAATTTTTCCAAATCGTATTTTTCTATGCATAATTTGCTCAGGGTAAAAGCGCTTGCCAATAGAACGTCTATTTCTTATAGCTTTCATAGGAACAAGTGTTAAAGTCTGTGAAAATGTCCCTTTTTTCTATTTTTATATGACATTTTTGAAGTATAGTAGTATGCACACATATTGAATACCCACTGTACCAAGAGTACTTAAAAGGTACACACTAAAACACTTTATTGTAGTGTTTACATAATCATACATGCCCCGGGCATAAACCCAAGTGACCGAAATATGAACCGATCGCTGTTCCTTGGACTACACATTGAAAGTGCTAGCGTCGGCATAATTGCAACACGAACGAACCTCATGTGCATATAACTCGCGCTCCCGCTTAAGAGAGCATAGCCCATATACTTAACTATATACAAAGCCTTCTCTCTGCCGCCGTCTGTGGGCAACGCAGCGACGAGACTTAGTCTTACTAGGAATTAAAAGAACAATGTAAGAATCAGAAACATTTAAACGTTGCAGCGGCACCATTGCTGCTTCGGCAAATAAAGAATTAAATAAATATTTCAAAGAAATTGATATTTTATTGTGAGATCTGGAAGGTTCTTCATCATGGCAACCGTGACATGGTCCTGGAGGACCTGGATCTAACAAGGATATATGGAAGAATAACAACCCGGAACACTGGCAAAGGAGAAAAGAGAGAAGCTGAGTGAGTAGAGTATTGTGAGTGATGGCTCGCGGTCAAGTTACATATTAAAAAGTCGAGCAAAGAAAATCTAAAACACCGTGGAAGGCAACTCCTGAGCTACAGGCCAGGCTTGAAGGAAATAAAAAAAATAAAAACCCAACCCAAAACCCAAATATTCAAGTTATCAATGAAATCAAAATAACGAAACCACCTATTCTAAAGCCATCACCGAGGAAAGAGAAATCCTGCCACAACGATTGCCCGGGACCACGATATAGCCCGGCGTACAAATCAACTAGCACGAAGCACACGACCTGTGCGAAGACCGGCACCTGAGCTCATAGTCTCGGGACAACTGCAGCAGAGAATTCAAGAAGCACGAGAGGGATACCGCCCGTTGCGCCTTCGAAGGAGCGTCAGCGAAGTCAAGCCGGCGACGACCAGCTGACGCGGGGAACACCGAACAAAAAAAAAAAAAAAAAAACATTTTATTACCATTTGCACTGCGTTGCATAATTTTTTTAATTGCACTGCGATGCATATTTTTTTTAATAATATACTATAATTTTGTAAAACTGAGCGGAATCCTTTCTACCCAGTTAGAAGTATGGCTCGTAAAGCCATACGAAAAATTAGATAGGACATGTAAACACAAAATTACAAATCTCAAAAATTTTCTTAAAAACAAAATTAAAAAAAAAAAAATTAAATTTAAAACAAAAATTTCTATTCAAAACCAAAAAAAACACATTAATTATAAATTGAGAAACACACCAAGTATAATTAGAATAAATTATAAAACACCCAAAATGGGTTAAGTAGACACCAAAGTGGTAGACTCAACGGCAAACGTTGTAAATAAGATCGAATCTGAAAAAAATTGATACACAAATGATCACAATAATGCTAATAATAATTGCAGTTATAATGTTAGAAAATGCGCTTTTAAAATTGTATAAATTGCACAATAAGTGCCTTCTTAAAAGATTACAAAGTCAAGCAAACGACTTGGACAAAATTTGAAACTTGCCTATCATAATTGCAATCATTATTGGCATTAATGAAAAAAAAAATTTATTAACATATTCAAGAATATTACAATAATTCCCAATATCATCCTTATTTAAAACCGAAAATGAACACTCTAGAAGCCATTACAAAGGTCTATAGGAATGACCCAAATGTTCAACATAGAATTCTACAAATGGTCTCAACGACCCCGAAGGGCATATTAGAGCTCGAATACAGTTACATTGATTTATTCAGGTTAGATTTTTCACCAATGATTCATTGCTCCATTCATTGCTCCAGAAAAGGAATTGTATTATCAACAATTCCAGGAGTTTTTGTAAAATCAATTACAAAAGAAAACAAGAGAGGAAGCAAACTTCGGCAAGTCGAAGTTCATATACCCTTGCAGCTATTGCAAGAATTAAACATTTTTGAAAACATTAAAATTATTAAAGCTATGATGATTTGCAGCTCAATTATTACATAGTTATTTTATATATTTTTATTTTATAGCTATATAATATAGTCGTCCGATTTTGATAAAATTTAAACAGTATTTCTGAAATATTTAACCATTACTATATGTCGAAGAACTAATTTAAAAATTTAAAAACAGCAAAGTTATAATTTTTGTTGTATTTTTTTTCTGATTGTTCCTATGGGAGCTTTATGATAAGTCCTCCGATTTTGATGAAATTTAAACCGTAATTCTGAAATAGTTAACCATTACTATATGTCGAAGAACTAATAGAAATATTTAAAATCAGCAAAGTTATAATTTTTTTTGTATTTTTTTCCGATTGTTCCCATGGGAGCTATATGATAAGTCCTCCGATTTTGATGAAATTTAAATCGTAATTCTGAAATATTTAACCATTTGTTGCATTCTGCAATTACTACAGAAGATTCATTAAAATTTTTTCCGATTTTTCACGACACATAACGCGATTATGCAAAAAGAATGTAAAATTCGAGTGGACAGATCAATGTCAAAAAGCCTTCGAGTACCTAAAAGTAAAACTGATGAAACCAACATTATTACAGTATCCCGACTTTAATAAAGAATGAACAAGCATTCGGAGCCGTTCTAACACAAGAACATAATGGAACGCATCTATCAGTAGCATACGCATCACGTTCATTCACAAAAGGAGAAAGTAATTAAAACACGACAGAACAAGCATTAGCAGCTATACATCGGACAATTAAATACTTTAGACAATATATATACGGAAAATACTTCACAGCTAAAACACAACACAGACCACTAACATATCTATTTTCAATGACTAACCCAAGTTCAAAATTAACCAGAATGAGACTTGACTTAGAGGAATACGAATTTACTGTTGAATAACTTAATGGAAATGACAATCACATTGCAGACGCATTATCACGAATATCCATAACGGACTTAAAAAATATTCAAACGACCAATAAAATACTGAAAGTCACTACCAGAAACCAAAGTAAACAGAAAAATTCCTGCGCAAAAACAGAACAAGAATAAATAGATTTGCCTAGGCAAACTCTAAATGATGCTTCTCAGCCGTTGTAAATGATGATGTACGAAAAGTAGTGACCTTGCGATTAACGAATTCACTATGCTTACTAAAGCATGGGAAGAAAGTTATAGCAAGAATTGTCGTTAGCGATATGTACTGTAACGATCCTGTTTTGGGAGGCGGTATAGCTCTCTGTGGCCAGGGTTCGAGACAGAAATTTATTTCCTCTTTTGATCGGTTTACCTCCCTTTCCCCACAGAATAACACAAATCGAACGCTACAGAGTATGGATATATTTTAATAGTACTATTGATTAAGACTACGTTTTCTAAATATAATTATATCGAGTGTGATTCTGCTTGCTAAGTGGCGTCGGCGCTGCTGAAGGGCCGAATGTGGTATTGCTTGTTGATATAGACGCTGCGGAAGGGCCGAGTATATCGCTGCTCGTTGAGTATCGCACTGCTTTGTGTGCGGCGCTACGGAAGGGCCGTATGTTGCACTGCTTACTGCTGACACTGCGCAATGGTTTGATGACCTGCTTGGTGTTGCAGATGTGTGACGGTTGAGTACACTGCTTGTTGTCGACGTTGTGCTGCAGCTGGGTGCACTGCTTGGTGTTGGCGCTTCGAAAGGGTCGATTATGCACTGATTGATGTCGATGGTGCGCTGTGGCTGGGTACACTGCTTGGTGTCGGCGCTTCGGAAGGGCCGATTGTGCACTGCTTGACGTCGTCGTGTGTCGTCGTTCGAGTACGTCGGGTTCGTAGTGTTCTGGGTCGTTTTAGAGGAACGAACTACTTGGATTTTCTAGTGGGATGTGGGAATGTAGGGCATCGTTATTTTCGAGCTGCCGGGCATCGTTAGTTTCGAGCTGCCGTGTTATTCCGTATCGTTTCCGGGTCGGAAGCCGGAAACGTGACTTCTGGGAGGAACTCACTGAGATGGGCCGGAGTTACGAAAACCGTGCCGGGCTCAGCGATCTCGACCGGGCCTGGGTGCGTATTCCTAAACCACAATGACCAGAGATATATCAAAGTATATATCAAAATGCCTCAAATGCCAAAAATTAAAAACAACGAAACACAGAAAGATCCCATTGACTATCACTGAAACGCCACAGGATAATTGTGGATACGATCAGTCCACTACCCAAAGCTGAACAAGGAAATGAATATGCAGTAACTTTAATCTGCGATTTAACAAAATATCTTGTAGCAATACCAATACCGAATAAAAGTGCAAATACAGTAGCAAAAGCTATATTTGAAGATTTTATTTTGCAGTACGGTCCAATGGAGACGTTCATTACGGACATGGGAACAGTATATAAAAATTCAATAACAGAAGCATTATGCTAAAATTTGAATATCAAAAACATAACTTCTACCGC